GCTCTTCTTGTGTGGTTGTTGATAACAGGTTGGTGCATTATTTGTTAAGTTTAACCTTATTTGCAGTATTAAAAGTGGAACTAGAGTTCCTTTAACTGTGGTAAATGAGCTCCTTTCTCTCTACCTTCTGAAGATATTTTGAGCGCCATATCTTAGCATCTATTTAATCAATAGCTCTTGATTTTTTTGTTGGGTCTCAAGCAGGTATTAGGAAAGGTTTCATTTTTCCAAGGGTAGCTAAAAACAACCGTGCAGTTCATGGGAACTCAGCTTGTGGTGTCACAACCTACAGGAAAACCTTTCTCCAGGTATATTATTTACTGTGACAAGGTTTTTGTACTGATTCAACATCATAGTGTCTAGAGTGAAATCCATGGTACTCAACTCATTGTTCAGTTGTTTAATTTGGCAACTGATGCCCACTCATACAAAAATCATTATCCATTGTGTTTCCGTACCTGATAATTGGTTTGCCTTTTATAGTCGTGAATCATTTTTACAAGAAGTTGTCCAAGATGTAAAATGTGCCATCTTTCTTTGATCATAGGAGCTGTATTGTTTCCGTAGTGTATTTTGTATTATTGATGGCTTTCCTAATTTTCCTTTAGATGTCCAAGACACTTTTTGAAAAGGATTTTACTTCCCATAGCATAAGAAGATCAGCAGCCTGATGGGCTGCCCACTGTGGAGCTGACAATAGCACCATTAAAAGGGCTGGCAGATGGTATGTGAGACGTAGTAATATATCAAACATGATAGACAGTGAAATCATCAAAATCTATGCTAATTAAGACTGGGTATCCAAACCTTCTTCGTTACTGTGATTTTCTCTGTTTAACTTGATCAGGGTAGTACTANATATATCAAACATGATAGACAGTGAAATCATCAAAATCTATGCTAATTAAGACTGGGTATCCAAACCTTCTTCGTTACTGTGATTTTCTCTGTTTAACTTGATCAGGGTAGTACTAGTACATTGAGACAGACATCAGCAAAGTACATTGTTTTTACATGTGTATAGTACAGGGGTATTCCTATGATGTGTCATGTAGCAGCTGATTTTAGTTTCTGTGAAATGCAAATTTAAGAAAGTTTTCTTTGTAATCCATGACCTGAAGAATTTGTATGACCTGGAAAAAGGAGAGTATTTTGTCCACAATTCTCTACTTTTAATTATCCATTTGTGAACCATGCCAGAGAACCCCCCTGAGTGACCGTCTTCTGATCTTTTCTAAAGAAGAGCAAAATAATGTTTCTTGTAGGATTGGCAATAACTACAAAAAAAAACTTGCAAACTCTAGACAGTTTTGCCACCAGCTGTGGGTTGAAGAACTCTTGATATCTTTGTGTTCATTCTCAATCCATAAATTGTTTTAAACATAGTTAGTAGAGGAGACTGGTTATGAAAGTCGGCGAACTTCAAAGACCGATGTCTTTGTTTTGATTTTTGCCTTGTCACGTGATCGCGACACTGCACATTTTTCAAACCATCATGGCGTCCATCGAGTAGTTTCTTGTTAGTTCTGTGATATGTGTTAGATGTCTCTGTAATTTTCATCAGTATTTGGTTGTCATTTTGCAAGAAATATAAAAGTTATGCCAGGGGCTAATTGCTCAGTATTTGGCTGTGGTTTGTGCAGAAGAACGAAGGGAATTGGTATTTGGAAGCTGCCTGTGGCAAAAGACGAAGCTCATGGAACATGGCGAGACGAATGGCTTGGTGAGACAAAAAAGACAAGAGAAATGGATCAGAACTTCAGGGAACAGTTGAAGAGCCATAGAATATATACCTGTGAGAAACGTTTTGAGCCTGAAGATATCGAAATATGTAAGTACATGTCTGTATTTTCTCGTTGAATTGTCGGATTTGCTTTGAGTTATAGTTTTCACCGATCAGTGTTGCGGCTGTTTGAAGTTCGTTCTGAAAGTGGATATGGTTGTAGGTTTGACTATTTCGAAGTTTAACAATTTTATCTTTTTTTTAATAGATCAATCAGCAAAAATGACTAAAAAAACCCAAATTTGGAGCTTTGCCAAAGCTGAATATGCCTAAGAAAAGCCATGAAAGCAGCAAGCCTTCACCACGTCC